GGCAAAAAAACTCAGTAAAGCATGATCCAATTTGCTCCAGCAGGGGAAACAAATCATTCTTGGTCCCCCGAGAGGCAATTGGATATACCCTGGATCAACTTTACCTTTAAATATTAGCATCCAGTTATATTATGTGTATCTATGACATAATCCAGGCCTTTTTAAAACCAAACTATTTTTCTGGCTAGAACCAGCTCTTGAGGGAGCCTTTTCCACATTTTTACAGCTCTTTTTCTGTATTTGGAGGCTAAATCTATTTTCCTACAGCCAATATGTATGTGTATATGTATATTGCAATTGTACATTTAGCTGTCAAAGCCCATATCCAGTATAAAGATAACTTTCCTCCCACCCCCCCTAGCTGATCACTGTAGAAAAAAAAAATCAAAATGTCCTTTTTACCTAGCTAAATCCACAATCACGATGCTACAGTCCTAAGTCTATGCTCCACTTCTTTTTACTTGTGACAGGGTCTTCCTTTATCATATTTTGAGTGGGGCAATAAATATTTAATAGTTTAATAGTAATATAGCAATCTTTTTGTATACTTTGAGCAAAATTAATATCTCCAATTCATTTTCTCTGCTCTTACTGGATTTCCACAGACACATTAAGCCATCTCAGGTGTCCTCACCAGGGGCAGACTGACAACTCATGGGGCCCCCGGGCAATAGGGGATCATGGGGCGCCTGTGTCCTTGCCCAAACTCAAAAAAGCCTATGAAAAAGGAACCAGGGGCATCTAATGGGGCCCCCTACTGCCCCCGGGCCCTCTGGCAGTGCCCGAGTTTCCAAATGGTCAGTCTGCCCCTGGTCCTCACTCATTGCTCCTTAGGTCTTCAGTGTTACTTCAAAACAATATTCAGGGAACAGAAAGAGAAATACTGCTACAGGGCGGAACGGGTTTGCAAAATCACGTATATATACGTGATTTTGCTGTTCTGGGTAGGGGGCGCGCATATGCCCTACCCACGCCGCCATTCGCAGCCTCGGCTTTCAGTTCTCTCCCCTGTCAGCTCCAACACACTGCTTTGTATGGCTCTGCATAGTAGAGCCATACAAAGCAGTGTTCTTACAGTGGAAAGCACACACAGCACATAATGAGAAACAGCACACAGCACACAGTTAACAATTTGATCAGCCCACATGTTGACCCCTTCCTGCCCAGTGCCACTAGTACAGTGTCAGTGCTTTTTATTAGCACTGATCACGGTGTTGGTGTCACTGGGGATGTCAGTGATACCAAGTCAGTTCCCCCCAGTGTCAGAATGCCCATCACAGTTCTACTATAAATTGCTGATCGCCGCCATTACTAGTAAAAAAAAAGAAATTCCAGTATATATACCGCCATTTGTAAACGCTATAACTTTCACATAAACCAATTCATTTATACATATTGGGATTTTTTTTTAGCAAAGACATGTAGCAGAATACATTTTGCCCTAAATTTATGACAAAATTTGATTTTTTAAATTTTTTTATTGGACATGTTTAATAGCAAAAAGTCAAAAAAATATATTTTTTTCTCAAAATTGTCAGTCTTTTTTTGTTTATAGTGCAAAAAAAAAAAAATGCACAGGTGATCAAATACCACCAACAGAAAGCTCTATTTGTGGGAGAAAAAGGATGTAAATATCATGTGGGTTTAGCATTTCATGACTGTGCAATTGTCAGTTAAAGTAATGCTGTGCCGTAATGCAAAAACTGGCATAGTCAGGAAGGGGACTAAATCCTCTAGAGGACAAGTGGATAAAAAAAAAAAAAGTCCTAAGATGACAATCCTTTCTCAACTTAGGCTGCTTGCTTCTAATTTGAACCACAGAACACCTCCCCCTATCCTCATCTCCATAACATGGGAAGGATGTTGTGCCATTCACAGAGGTGAACTGGTTTGGTTTGATAATACTGGTGTATAATACTGGAGTTAAAAGCTCACTAGTTTTCTGGCAGGATCAATGGGTGTTTTTCTCCTTTATTGAACTGTTATAACAAAGTGATTTTAATGGTATGTTTAGTGACCAAACAAAGAAAAAATAAAAGAAGTTCATTGTTAAGTGTTTGCAGCCCACCTATGAAAAATACCTTCCTCCCAGTTCTATCAATTTTTACCAGAATGCGGGAATGGGGGTGCAACACATGTGCATAGGAGCCATTTAAGACAATGGGGCTCAATACCTAAAGGCAAATAGGCTGTTCAATTTGCAAAGGAAGTTGTACTTTGTAAGGGAATTTTCCCCAGAGATTAGTGAATGTGGTGACATGTCACTTTGCAAAGAATACCCAATCACGTGAAAGGAAGAAAAATAGTATTTTTTTTCTTGCACATGAACAGATATGGATGTCAGCAGAGCTTCACCTCATTCACTATGCTCTGAGGCAAATTCCCTTACAAAGTGCAACTTCCCTTCCCAAGTAGACAGGCATTAGAAAGGCATTTTTGCCTTTAATAAATCAGCCCCATTATTTTTGTAAATTCTGTATGGTGCCAGGCAGGGCCGCACAGCAAGGATGACTGGTACATTGATCGCTGGGGGGAGGGTGTTAGGGCTGCTTATAGGACTAATTCAGTAAGGGCTCGTTCACAACGTATGTGCATGGAACCTGATGGAAACAGACGTGCTGATTTCACTTGCAGAGACATCAGTTTACATTACTTTTCATTACCTTGCAGATTCCTGCGCAGAAAAAATCTGCATGTACTAGTGTTGTGGTGTGAACAGGGCACATAGAGAAGAATTGATTTGTTGTGCCCTTGCAGAATGTGTGCAGAAAAAACTGATGTCTCTGCACCATGGTGTGAATGAGGGTCCCACTGTTCTTTAAGTTATAATACTTGTCTATGACCAATTAGCTAGATCTACATTTCCCATAGATGCACTGAGCATACTTTTTACTAATCATCCATAAAATTGCTTTTCCATCACGACACCTCTGCTTCTAATTGCTGTATATTATATATACTAACAGTGATGAGTGATGAGTGTTGAGCCTTGGAGTTTCCAGTGACGGCATGGTAAACATTAGTAGACGTAACTAAATACCTGGAACTTCAACCTGCAACTTTGAACTATCTCAAAATATTAATGGGATTAGTGGGATTTATTAGGTGACAGTTTCCTTCTCTTTGCCATTTGCACTATATCCCCTTTGGGCCCTTTTACACAACAATTACAATTTTGTTGCAAAGTTAAAATTTCTCTTTATTCTTTGTTAAACACAATGTAGCAGTAACTATCCAATGCATGGGCCCAAGGTGTTCTTTTACAAGATGTGAATATTTGATTGTCCTGGACACATTTGGCTGCAACATTTTTAGTATTTAAAGGAGATGATTGAACTTGTCAACAATCTATCCCCTGTGTAGCTAATGCCAATATAATCCTGGATGTGGTTTTTTTTTGGCATGTACATTTTATATGTGCAGATAAAATGGAACATGATCTATGGAAAATCACATATAAATAAATGTTTCTTAGATATGTTTTTCTTACGCTGAGACATGTTTCCCATGAGCAAAAATGTGTTTCTTATTAAAAATACATTGTAAATTTAATTTTGTGACTACTTTTGCCTGTGCCTTTGTAACACTAATGCTTCCACTCTACTTTCAGTATTTTCATGACTAATGTATGTTCCTAATTTTTCTTATGCATTCTGGGTATGTTTTTGAGCTTCTTATAAATTGAAATAAATTTCAAAGTGGAACTCCAGCCAAAATTTTTTTTTGATAATTTTGCATAGAGTATGGAAGGATTACAACCAATGCCAGATTTTTATTACAAATAAAACAAAAAAATAGGCGAGCGCTCAGGATAAAAATACCACAAGCTGCATGTGCACCAGTAAAGGAATCCTAAAGCCTTGTGAATAATATCAAGATAAAGAAACAGTGCCGCGCTAAAATATTATATATAGATTAAAATAAATGATGTAATATAATCAATAATAATCAACCAGAATTTATTGTGATATATAATATAAGTGAATAAAGCACTAATTCAGGTTCCAAACATAAATGTGATCATGTGAACAGTCTTTTATCAACAGAAGTGTTCATAAATTAGTGCAGGTTTGACTCGATCAGGTCAGCAAATTAGTGCTCCATAAAGTTATATTGCACTAGTGACATACAATAAATCCGAGTGACTTAATCCGTGTGGAAGACTGTAAGAAATGCGCACTCACCAGATGCGCATGATAAATGCGCAATAAGCTGAATATGAATCTGTAGAAAACCCCTATAAATGGAGCTGCCAGACAGCATGGAACTAGGATCCTGCCTCTGGACATAAGCCTCCTCTGCAGCCACGCTTCCACTGGGGTCCTAGGAATCCTTAGCTCAAATCAGGGGTGCAACGGTGTCCGGTCAGGATGGTCTCTCTGGTGACAGGTTGCAGCCAAGTAGTGCTCTTGGCCTCCTCATTGATGAAGAAGACCCTTCCTCCTCCGGTGATGCCATAGCCCCATGCCTAGGGCAGAGAGCTGGCCTGCCATTACACACACATGAACTTTAATGGCATCCCAGTCTTAGTCCGTAGGGTTCAATATTGAGTTGGCCCACCTTTTTCAGCTATGACAGCTTCAACTCTTCTGGGAAGGCTGTCCACAAGGTGTAGGAGTGTGTCTATGGGAATGTTTGACCATTCTTCCAGAAGAACATTTGAGAGGTTAGGCACTGATGAAGGCCAGGCTTGAAGTCTCAGCTCTAAATCATCCCAAAGGTGTTCTGTCAGGTTACGGTCAGGACACTGTGCAGGCCAGTCAACTTCCTCGACCCCACACTCGCTGATCCATTTCTTTATGGACCTTGCTTTGTGCAATGGTGCGCAGTCATGTTGGAACAGGAAGGGGCCATCCCCAAACATTTCCCACAAAATTGGGAGCATGAAATTGTCCAGAATGTCTTGGTATGCTGACGCATTTAAGAGTTCCCTTCACTGGAACTAAGGGGCAAAGCCCAACCCCTGGAAAGCAACCCCACATCATAATCCCCCCTCCACCAAACTTTACACTTGGCATAATGCAGTCAAGTAAGTACCTTTCTCCTGGCAACCGCCAAACCCAGACACACCCATTGGATTGCCAGAAAGAGAAGCATGATTTGTCACTCCAGAGAACACTTCTCCACTGCTCTAGAGTCCAGTGACGGTATGCCTTACACCACAGCATCCGACGCTTTGCATTGCACTTGGTGATGTAAGGCTTGGATGCAGCTGCTTGGCCATGGAAATCCATTCCATGAAGCTCTCTATGCACTGTTGTTGTGCTAATCTGAAGGCCACATGAACTTTGGAGGTCTTTAGCTAATGACTATGCAGACAGTTGGGGACTGTTGCGTACTGTGCGCTTTAGAATGCGCTGACCCCACTCTGTCATTTTACGTGGCCTACCACTTCGTGGCTGAGTTGCTGTTTTTCCCAGTTGCTTCCACTTTGCTATAGTACCACTAACAGTTGATTGTAGAATATTTAGTAGCAAGGAAATTTCATGGATGGACTTATTGCACAGGTGGTAACCTATCACAGTACCACGCTTGAATTCACTGAGCTCCTGAGAGCGACCTATTCTTTCAAAAATGTTTGTAGAAGCAGTCTGCATGCCTAGGTGCTTGATTTTATACACCTCTGGCCATGGAGGTGATTGTAACACCTGAATCCAATGATTTGGAAGGGGCTGGCCCGATCCGCCAACGCTCTTTGCTCTTCCTCTTCCTATTGTGGCACACCTGCAAGCTCGATCCCTAGCCCCGCTGCCTTCATCTTTAGATATAGATGGTAAGACTTGGCCCCACCCCCCACCCCCTGATTCTTGTCACAGAATTTGACTGGCAGCAGCAGAGAGCCGCTACAGATGAGCACAGATGAGCACAGTGCTGGATCAAGATTCGGCTCAGGTATGTATCAGTGGGGGATGAGAAATGCGATGTGGGGAGGTCAGCTCTTGGCTGGAACAGCGTGGTGGCTGGAGGGGAACAGCGGTGAGGCCAGCCAGCGTGCACGTCCTGCCTTAGAGCCGGATGGAACGCACGCTGGAACGTAGCGGCGGCGTGGCCGTGATGACGTCAGATCCCAGGGTGGAAGGTGGAAGTGCAGAGCCGGCTTGAAAAAGGAGTGCACTTCCGCCTTCATGGCCAGTGCATGCTCCGAAACGCGTCGCAGTGCACCCTGGGATCTGACGTCATCACGGCCACGCCGCCGCTACGTTCCAGCGTGCGTTCCATCCGGCTCTGAGGGAGGACGTGCATGGCGGCCGGCCTCACCGCTGTTTCCCTCCAGCTACCATGCTGTTCCAGCCGAGAGCTGACCTCCCCACATCGCAGTTAGATGACGGCTCTTCACCCGGGTTACCACCCCACCGTTAACTATTGTTAACCACGGTTTTTAAGCTTATGATTACTTCACACATGTGAGTGTTTCTACATTTAGACTTGAATTAAAAGACTTATTGCACTTAGAGGCGCTTCTCTCCTTTTTCTCAACTACAGAAGTTGCTACAGCTTATTTGGAAGCCTTGCCCTCAGTGCCACATGGAATCCTACGCTCTTCATACAGTAGCCACTAATACCACGATCACCCCATACTACCATTTCCCAGGACTTTGCAGTGTTTGCGCTGTTACAGCCCTTCCTCATTTTTTCTGTTTTTCCACAGCAGCCTGTATTGCTCTTGAGGTTACCTGTGGGTTTTTCTTTGTGTCCTGAACAATCCTTCTGGTAGTTGTGGCAGCAATTTTCTTGGTCTACCTGACCTTGGCTTGGCATAAAGAAATCACAGAATTTTCCACTTCTTAATCAGCGATTGAACAGTACTGACTGATATATTCAAGGCATTGGATATCTTTTTATATTCTTTTCCATCTTTATAAAGTTTCATTACCGTTTTACGCCGGTCTTTTGACAGTTCTTTTATGCTCACCATAGCACAGTATCTAGACTGCTCAGTGCATCTACATGAGAGCTAACAAACTCATTGACTATTTATACTCACACACTAATTGCAATTTAAAAAACCACAGATGTGGGAAATTCACCTTTAATTGCCATTTTAACCTTTGTGTCACCCTGTATGTCTGTACCAAGGACAAACATGTAAACTTTTTATCAGAGCTATTTGTAAAATTTCTGTTATCATTATGATTTTAAAAGGAGCCAAATAACTATGTGATTATATATGGCTTCAGATTATCACTATCCTTAAATAAAAGATGTTTTTAGCATGATCAGTCATATTTTCAATATCTTATACTGTTATTTCCAAATCAATAGATAAAAGGATTGGTAAAAAAAAAAAAAAAAAGGTATATAAATAAACTATATATGATGCAGGAATTGATTGTCTATTGCCTATAACACCATATAAAAATAATAATACATTGCTGTGCTGGTGATTATTTGTGAAAACTAATGGTGAGCCAAAGTCAATATATAAATGCACATAAAAAGTCCTCTTCCAATTTAAATTTCAAATGTGAAATACCACTCCCACAATCCAAGTGCAGTGTGATCTTAGTATGTGCTCACCTTATGTTTTGCCTAAATATATAGGCAAAACTCGCTTTTTGTCCTTATAGGACTGATGAAATAATATTCTTCCTGTGTGAGATTTTCCCAATGACAAATGGATAGTTGTAGTTAGATCTTAATCCACCTGGGGTCTATTGGTTTAGTATGCAGTAAGCTGAAAAAGTGAAAGCATGGCCTGCAGTCTCTGCTATACTCGCCGTGCTTATCCGAGACAACGTTGTGAAGCCAGAGCCCCTCCCCTACGCATTGCGTCACCGGGTCACGTGACTTCATCAGGGGGATACGATGAGTGCATACTAAGATCACACTGCACTTGGATTGTGGGAGTGGTATTTCACATTTGAAATTTAAATTGGAAGAGGACTTTTTATGTGCATTTATATATTGACTTTGGCTCACCATTAGTTTTCACAAGTAATCACCAGCACAGCAATGCATTATTATTTTTATATGGTGTTATAGGCAATAGACAATCAATTCCTGCATCATATATAGTTAATTTATATATATATATATATATTTTTTTTTACCAATCCTTTTATTTATTGATTTGGAAATAACAGTATAAGATACTATAGATAATTCATATGGGAGCGCGGCACTATTAGTATATTTTTCTTTAGTCACATAGCACTGTTTAATGAGTTGGTGTGAGTGTCAGCGAACCACAGGTGTGTTGTATTTTAGTCATTATTTTTATTCATACAATCAATTAGAAAATCACAGGTTTTCTACCATAGTAGCTGACAAGTATATATATAAATTCTTTTATATTTTCAATATCAATGCCAAAATGTCATGATTTCTGCCAGGGTATGCAAACTTTTGAGCACAACTGTATATTACATTGTTTAAAGTAAATACTTTATTGCATCAGTTTTTTTAGATCTACAAAGAAATTAAATTCTAACTATATTATTTTTTCATAAACCCAGTCATGACTGGTTCTCTTTAAGGCAGACCGATACCAAGGTAAGAGAGTGCTGAGGTTTCTAGGAGCTCTGGAAATATCAGATACAAGGCTATCTGTCTCAACTCATTTTATTCAATAACATGATCTACATATAAATGGTCTGCTTGAAATATTTATTTTCTTTATTCTCAGTAGGGGTCCAGTGCACAGCAGAAGTGATATAAAGCACACTCCGTTATGGAATATATTTGTGTAAAATAATGAAAAAAACACAATGCAATGTCTGCTGCAATTAGCCACAATGAGTTGATTCTGAGCGTTTTAACTCAGCCTTCAAAGTCTGGGGGAAAGATGAGGACATTGAGCATTTCCCTATCTTGTCCACCCATTGGTTCTGTTTTAAACAAATTTACATTTGCTTAATTTAAACTTTCTGTGGGCTGACTCCGTCTGGGTTTCTTTTTTCTTGTACTTTTTTTTTTTGGTTCCTGGGCAAAATCTTTAATGTGCTTCAAATAAACCACCCCATTGTTCTCTGATTGTAAAGTGTAAAAATAAAATGTTCCTCCGCCACAATTCTACACATAAACTCCAGCCTGTTTTTGTTTGAAATATCTGTTAACATTTGTGCGTCACACGGCGGTTGGGAGGTCAGCTGAATTTTTTTTTCCTTCTAAACATTTGTTTTATATTTGATGAAAATACATGTTTTGAAGAGCGAGTTGGTGGTAGATTTTAAAAGAAATTGTAAATAAACATTTAAATAAAAACCTGATAATTATTCTCACTGAAACAACTACTTGGTGTGCTCTTTTGTTTTGGTTTACAGTCTCATTTGTAGTGAAGGACCTTCCGTGGTTTTGGCATAAAGAGAAGTGATTAGGAAGAATGCTAAAGACAGTACAAAATACTGAATTAGAGATTTGCCCTGCAGGCGTTCTCACTTTTAGCTAAAAAACAGAAACATCTTCAGTGAATAAATAATAACAGTGGCAAGTTGGTCCCAACAGACCCCCACAAATCACCTTCTCTAGCCAGAGATGTTTTTTGCACTATAATAATATGCAAGTTACAAATAATATTTAGGATAAAAAACTCCTACATTACTATACCCACAATTACAAAAGATAATATCTCATCATCTATTTTTATATGTGGAAACATATTGTTTGAAAAGCAATGTGAAATTCTACCTTGAAAATTAATAAACTACACAATGTGACCAAATAGTCATAAACAATATTACAAAAAAATAAAAGATTAAAAAATGAATAAACATAAAAAGCCCACTCCAAGTGTCCAATTACGGTCCAGAAAGGATGATCCACCTAACAATGAATGCTGTGTGTTACAGTGCTCTCAGGTCACCAAATAACCAGAAGTGCCACCTCCTTCCCAGAATACCAGGATCTCTAAGCAAAAGAGATCAAAAGCGCTTGATCTCTTACACATATGTAAGATCACTCCCACTGCCACTTTCCAAATACATCCAATCAATCCCAAGATTCACAAGAATGCCCGGATTTTCTGCAGGAACAGTATGAAGAGAACAGTAGGAGAGCATAGAGTAGTATCGATAAAACTTCACTATTTATTATAAATTCATTATACCCACAAAAATCACATCTATTGCCTCACCTTTGTACACTGGTGGGCATAATTACATCAAAGGCCACTGAACCCACCCAGCACATGTTTCCTCTACAAGTGGATGTCTTCAGGGGACAAGTCCTCTACAAGTGGATGTCTTCAGGGGACAAGTCCTCTGAAGATGTCAACTTGTAGACAAAACATGTGTAAACTGGGGTCAGCAGCTTGTAGCATAATTAGGCCTGCCGGTGTAAAATGCCAGCGTTTGATGCACTATGTGCCTTCAGCCTGAAGAAATAAATGAAAAAAAAAGGTTTTCCCCCTAAAGTTTTGGGATTCAGTTGTTATCAGGTCCTGGGATAAATAAGAACATGGGGATCTTTGCACTTTACATTTGCAGAAGACTATAGTAATGGCTGTAAATTTATGGTACATTAAAATTCAACTTTTAGTTGTGATTGGAGAGGTTGTTTGAGCAAAATAGTTTTGGTTTTATCACATCCAAACAAAAAATAATCATACTGTAAAATATACATATAAACAATAATAAGTAAATAGTTAACCTTAAAATATGTGTGGTCAAAATGT